TAAATATAAAAGCTATTTAATTAATGAACTGCTTAAATATTTATTTAAATATTATAAATTCTCAAATAGCGGCATAGCTTTAGTTTGAATTTTGGCTCAAATTAAGCCAAATTTTGTAATTTCACACCTATGCTTTATTTCGAAAATTTAATCTTTTATTTCTAATCAGTTATTAAGACCTGTACTACATAAAAAATCTCCAACAACGTGTCATTGTATGATACTATAGGGTAATCGGGCTTTGACGAGTCAATAAACAGAGCCCGAACCCGACCCGATACTTTATTTGGCCCAGCCCGAGCCCGACCCGATTTATAGCGAGCCTAAAATTTGGGCCCGACCTGTAAAAATTCGGGTTAAACCCAGCCCGTTCCGTACCCTACATACAGGTGCTGACCCAATAGAATATGGTTTTCAAATGCATTTCATAAATTCGAATTTTTATCACTGATGGAATTCGAACTCTTGTCCTGTCACTTGGAGTGTGACAACTTACCAACTTCACCAAGTTGTCACACTCTTCTTATACTTGATTCATATTATATTATATAAAAAAATAATTTATATAAAAGCTTTTATTTATTTTAAAGCTGTATTCTAATCTTAAATTCTAATAAATATGGGTATTCCTAACCACTAGTACAAAGAATATTAATTCTAAAAAATAGAATTTATAGATCACATATTTTGATATAAATACGGCATTTATTTTATAAAATCGGATGCCAAATTATTACAGTGCTTTTCAAATTACTGTGATCAGCAAAATTTATGTATCACACATCGTGAGAAATCTGAAAATTAGGATTTTAATAAAATACAAGCCTGTGATTGGCTGAAAATTATACTAGCCAAATGTATTGCATATATTATATAAAAATTCTAATCTTAAATATTTTTAAAAGTTTTATTGAACAATAGCCCAGTCAATTTCAATGTTTAAGACTATTTTCAAATCCTACAAGCTTTCAAAATTTGAAAATGACTTTGAATATCAAAAATGACCAGCTATTACTTGAAGTTTGAAAAAATTTAGTAAAGACAACCAAAGAATTTTAGTATTTTTTGATCTGACCACTTTAAGATATAGACACTAATAGATGATATACAAGAGAATCAAAATTTGACAAGAAATTTTTAAATTCTAACTTTTTAGATAAAATTTTTTAAAAAATAATGAATTTATTAGAATTTTACAGATTTCCATATAATAGATCATCTGCTGATTACAGTAATTTGAAAAGCACAATAATTATGAAACCTCATTATACCTATTTGATTTATTTGATTTTGAATAAGACAAAACTAATATTTATAAAATTAAATAATTTATTTTAATCTTTATATCAATATATTAAATTAATAAAATTTATAATTTAAATAGCCTATTTATAGTAATTAATGATTTTTATATTTTAAAATTTAATCAATACAAATTAAACAAAATTAAGTGCTAAATTCAGTATTTATAAATATGGATAGCTTAATATTCTTTATATTAATAGAATTATAAATAATAAATATATAAACAGTTTGTTTTAGTTTTTAAATTAACAATATTTGACTTTGCTAAAACACATCATTTATAGTATTTTACGCCTATGTGTGTATACATTATCGCAAAAACTGGCTAATTAATTGCTGCAAAGTAGTAAAAAATATATGAATATTTTTGTTCTTTGAAAACATAAATTTTAAAATCTAGGTTCTCAAAAGATTTAAATGTTCTCAAAGGTCCATAGAAATTTTTTTATAATACAATTGATAAATTTTATTTTCTCAAATGAGAACATAATCTTTAAATATTGGTTTCAAACTATTGAAATGTACTTGAAAACTCTGAGAATCAACATTGGTGCGAAGTTTTCTAAGTAAAAATGCTCTATGCTCTAAAATCTCTAATCTTAATTCTAGATACTAACGCAATGTAACAAATTTGTGTTAAAACTTTTATATACAAAATTATATAATAGATGCAAAACCATCATAGGTGCATTTTATAATAAATGTATATTTACGTATTTATTAAATTATTATGAATAAACAAAATTAAATAAGCATAAATAATTCATTTTGAATACTTAATAAATTTTTATTGTAGACTCATAATCTAGAATAAATTGAATAATATTTCTAAATTTGAATAGTTTATTTTAAATAATTAGATTAATGAATATTTTTGTGCATTATTCACCACACTTATATATGGAATTATTTATTTTATTGATAAATACAAATTAATTAATTCTAAATATCTAGTTTTAAAATACGATTTGGTTTGTTTAAAGACATAAAATAGACGAAACACATGTTTACCTTCAGTTTATTGTCAAGTTTCAATTTATTATTTTGAATCATATAGTTCAACAAAAAATGTTAGATTAAACAAAGTGCTATATCTAAAAATTCACTAAGTAACCAAGTTCGGGGTACTAAGTAAAAATGTTGAGGACTCTCGAAAAACTTACTAACCTAAATTTTGGGCTTTTTATTCAATCTATATTATGCCCTATAAACCCTCAACACCCACACCCTAAATTGTAAGAGAAAGTCATCACAGTTATTAATTACCACTGGCATGATGTATAATAATTTATTAAACAAATATTAGATTAAATAAAATGTTAGATTAAACAAATGTTAGATTAAACAAAATGTTAAATTAAATTGAAAAATAGTGTGAATAAAATTTTTTAATTGAGACTAGAGATGTTAAACCGTTTAACTACTTTTAAAAATCAAATATAAATTTATATATCAAACTACGAGAACTAGTTCAGTTTATATAGTAAAATCTAACCGGTTTAACATCCCTAATTGAGACAAAGAATGTTTTTTTTTTTCTTTAAAATGAATTAATTAATGACGAAAATGAATTACTTAATGACTAAATAAAATTTTATTTCATTTTCTAACTATTTTAGCGAACTCAAGTATATCCAAACAATCTAAATACTCTTTGTATCCTCTGAAAAATAATTCATGGTTCTTAGTTTCATACAAAACTGGGACAAGACTAAAATGCGAAATGGAATTTATTTCCCAAACATCCCATTTTCCTGGTTCATATTTTAAACTATTTTCTATTATTTCATCATCGATCTCCTCAATGTCCTTAAATATCTCATTAGATTGCTTGTGATTTTCATGTTCACGAATATCTGCGATAAGGTTCGGAAATCCTTTATGATGCTTACACATTCCATCATTGCATTCAAATCCACCGGGATGCATTTGTGAAATTGTTGGACATAAACCATCATTCTCGTACCAATTCGGCGCTTCTTTTTCTAGATCTATAGGAAATAATTTGGTATTGGATGGAAACTTAAATCTACCCATTTCGCAAGAAAGAATGTAAAGTGGAAGTGGAATCTTAAGCGATAATTGTGGTCGATGAAATTTTGTACGTGGATCTTGGTGCGTCTATTAAAATAATAATAATTATATAAACGGTATCTGATATGTAGATGTTTATTTAAATGTGCAATATCGTCATTACTTACGATAGATGCGGCATAAGTTCTATAAAATGTATTTTCAAAGGTACGACATTTCTTATTTAAATCATTCATTGCATGGATTGTCAAATCATAAGTCGCGTTATCTTCGCAATACATCCAAGGACTTTTCAATAGACATTGTAATAGACCATATGTTTTTTCTTTCTCCGATTTTTGGCACTCAGAGTCACCTGAAATATATTTGTCCCCAAAATATTCATCCCACATTGATTGGAAATTTTTTTTAAAACTTAGATTCCATTGATCACAATTGAAATCATATGTCAATTTTTTTATCCATTTTATATCAAAATATTCATGAATATGAATCATTCTACCAATCAAAGCTCCAAAACGAAATGGACGAATTGATCTTACATCTTCTGTGCATCTACCTACTATGCAAACAGCATGACTTCCTATAGTTATTAACTCATATTAGACAATGTTAATTGATTAAGCTGAAGATGATAAATATTGATATTATTATAACCTTTGAATGGAGATGAGACAGCTGTAAGAGATCGAACCATATCAGGATGAGGTTCATGATATGCTGGGAAAAGATCACTTGCAAGTAATTGTTGAAGTTTCCAAATAGTTACACCACCCTATTATTTTAAAGAAATCATAGTCTAAGAAAGTTATCATAAATCAAATAAATAAAAGGTATAAATATGAGTGTATTCCAGTTTATGTATTACAAATGAATGTCCAAGAAAGTGGAGTGGTTTAGAAACGCTCCATTCAGGATATAATCCTAAATCAAATAAATTTTTAAATACTACAATACTTTATTTGGTTTATAGTTTATTTTATATAAACAGTATAAATACCAGGATATTCCCGACCGTAACGCGAATGGCCATATTTTAGAGCGTGATCTTTTCCATAATCGACTAAATGAAGGATTAACTCATAAATTCACGTGTAGTAAGTAGAGTTCTTACCCGGGTCAGAAAATACCGACCCGGGCGGGTCAGGGTTTGACCCGGGTTGTAACCCGGGTCAACGGGTCAAACGGAAATTCATAAAGGTTTTGAAGTTAATCCTTAAAAGTTGATGTAACGACTCTTAATT